TCTCTAGAGTGGAATTTATCCAATGCTTAAATTTGAATGGCTTACTCTCTCTATTTTGCTTCCAGCTCACTTGCTAGTTTCCATACCTTCATTCCTATTAGCCATCCTGCTATAACATACTCAGTATCAATACCATTATTGAAAGTGAAGACAAATTACTCAATTTTGGGGTCCATGCCCAGATTATCTTTAATCTTCACATCCTCCTCAGTGTAACGTGGCACCATTTCATAATGCAGTTATTTTTATTTATGCTAGAGTTACCATACGTCCGAGTTTTCTTGGACACATTCTCTTTTTTGGCCCCCTGTGCTGCATCTGGGTGGGGTTTTTTTAAATGCAGGCAAAAATGTCCAGGATTTTCTCCCCCAGCCCATTTTCAACATGGCCGCTACTAAGTAGAACTACAGTTTCCAGAATACCTAGCGCATGCATGTGCAATCGGGAGCTGAGTTTAGGACCTGAGTTTTCGGTTTATTGTGGAAAAACACAGAAGAGGCAGTACCACTTTGGCAAATGGGGTCAGGGGTCACCATGTTTGTCTGCGCACGCATGCAGACATGGACAGCCAAACAGAAACACAGACAGCCAGGCAGGGTATGGGAGGTGCCCCGGCTGAACCCCTGGATATAGGCAAGCGGAAGGTAGGTGCATGTGTGTGTGAGCACGTGGGGGGAGGAAGCACTTAATCAGTCAATTCAGGCTTATCAGACCATTTACAACTGGAAATATGGTAACCCTATTTTTCATGGCTACTTAATGATCAAATCAGCAATTGCTGAGAAAGATACGCTCTTACAGAGAAGTATGCACGGGCATCACCGTAAGAAGCACAAGAGAGGACTGACACCATGTAAAAACATACTTTTTTTTTTTACATTTTTTTTTTGTTTCTCATTAAATTTCTGAGGCAATAACACTTGTTATCTACTGTAACCCTAACCCTAACCCCTCCCCCCCTCACTCTGGACAGGTGTCCTCTTTTTTGGAACTGGAAATATGGTCACCCTATTTACGCAGCTGTGGTGGTGAGAAGCTCCCACAGGATCTAAGGGGGCTGGGGGAAACCCCAAGAGCCCCCACAGGGAACAAACAGGCCCCCCACACCCCAGGAAACTTACCTCCTGGAGTGCAGCCAGAGCCACAGCCACGCGAGCCAGCATTACACCAGCTCTTTAAACAGCTGCTCCCAAGGCAGGGGAGCAGTGGGCTAATTGCGGCGGCTGTGGATGCTGCCGTGGGAGATTTAAAAACCCCACCAGAAGCCAGCAGGGGAGGGAGCGAGCCACCAGCGAGCCTGCCAGGCAGGCAGTGACTCCAGAGGTTGGCCGGAGCATAGTGACTGGAGCTGCACCCGCTCCCAGAGCAGGGGGGAGCAGCGTCCTATACTGGGCTGGGGAAGATCAGTCCCCAACCACTTGAAATCAAAAGATTAGAGGGGTGTCTCTCTCACTCAAAGACAGAAGGACACCAGACAACGGGAGCCCAGCCTTCTGGCACCAGGGGATGGAACTCCAGTTGCCTTAACCTCCAGGCAATTGACCATTGCTAAAGCTGATGCCTGACCCCTTAGAAAAGGGGCTTAGAGGGAACAGCAGAACAACAAAACCGAGCGGTTGGTGAGCGGACAGCACGTAGGGGAGGTGGAGCCCCGAGGAATATCGTGGCACAAACGTGAGTACCCCTGTCACCAGGTCACCCAAGAAGAGGAACACCACTGAACCCCTCCTTTTACCCATTAACAACAAGTTATGGCAGAAAACTTGAGGGTACGCTCCGGTAAAGGGGGATGGTGCGGTACTCACCACACCCACTAGAGACACCACAGCAGCTGAAAAAGCCTTTTGGTATACATTTTATTATCCTTTCTTAGACGATTCTCAATTAGCAGATTTTGTCATCGCTCTCTTGGTGGTTGATTTCTCTGCTTTCCACCAAGCAAACTGTGATGCACAGAGTTTTCACAGATACCGTTTTATCAGAGACTTAAGAAACAGAGTTATTTTTAACATCATATTATTTACAGATAAAAGTTTGGAGCACTTTCCAGACACCCAGAGAATTCCAAACTGGCTTGCAATCCACCCACATTTAATATTACGTAAACAGATTATGAATTCTAGATTAAGATTGAGCAAGAAAAAAGCCAATGAGCCACTCCATCTAACATTATCTGTTAGAAATGAAGACATTTAAGTGAAAGTGTTAGGAAAAATGTTTAGAGCCACTATCTTCCAAGCCATTTGCAAATGGCATTGTATTTCTCTAAAAGACCATTATGCTATCTGCTTGCAACCATGCATTTAATACAAGCTTTTGGAAATGTACCAGAAAGTTGCATTTGTTTCATAGATTTCATAGACATTTGGGCTGTAAGGATCATTGAGTCCAGCCCCCTGCCCCAGGGACAGAAAGTCATCAGGAATCATAGGATCCCAGCAAGATAAGCATCCAAATGCGTCTTGAAGGTGTTCAAAGTGGGTGCTTGAACTGCCTCCGGCGGCAGTCTATTCCAAACCTTGGGGGCTCAGACAGTAAAGAAGTTCTTCCTTATGTCCAGCCTGAAATCGGTCACGGCAGAGTTTGTGACCGTTCGATCTTGTCATCCCTTGGGGTGCTCTGGTGAACAGATGTTCCCCCAGATCCTGATGAGCACCCCTGATAAACTTACAGGTGGTCACCAGATCACCCCTAATCCTGCGTTTTTCTAGGCTGAAGAGTCCCATGGCTCTCAGCCTCTCATCATAAGGTCTGTTTTCCTGACCTCTGATCATGTGCATGGCTCTCCTCTGCACTCTCTCAAGCTTCTCCACAACCTTTTTGTTCTTAGCCTTCTAAAAAGATTTTTTTGTCATTTTTAAGATTGAAACATGTTATTAAGCCAATGCTTCTTAAACCAGCTTCCCCAACCCACCCTCACAATTTTCAGACATGTTAGATTCTATCTTTCCTTCTTTTCAAGAAGCCGATTCAACTCTGAAGAAAGAGGAAAAAATGTTCCATTTAACATATAAACCCCCAGGAAAGGTTTTTCTACTATTACCATTTCAGGAGAGTAAGATTCTAGGGGGAAAAAAAACTGACTCAAACCTTGCCATTCCCTAGGGATGTGCAAATGCTAGATGTGCACCTTTGGAGCT